CTCACTGTCTGCCACCGACCGAATGCTGGCGCAGGTAAACCGATTATGATTATTGCATTAAGACTGCTAGTATGTGGTTCTACTCTAAAAGCAAACAGGTCCAGATCAGTTAGTGCATATACTTTCTGACAAGCCTGTGACTGTGGAGAAAAGAGAAAAAGTTCATTCCTATCCCATGCACATGTACAGGTCACACTACTGTAGCTGCTTTGTACACTAACTGCTTTCTTTCTTTCTTTCATCCATCCATCCAACTATAATGATTAGAAATTATATTCTATTTTGTAATATTTAATATTATTCTTATTATTCATTACATGACTAATGAGCTGACACTTAATAATAATAATAATAATATTCAAACAACACTTAGTAGTAACAAATAAAAACCTACTAGAAATAGGCTCACTCACAGCAATGAAAAATTGAAAAGAAAATATTAACTTATTAAACCTGGTGAGCTCTGACTTGATTAGTATGTTTATATAAATAAATACAATTCTTGTTGATTGCGTAAGGCAGGTATTAGAAATAAAAAAAAAAGTTGTGCACATAGTTTTGTGAACTTTTTACAAAAATATTTTAATGTATATAAAATTTAAATGAAAGCATCTAGCAAAATCTACACTACTATTCAAGAGTTTGGGGTCAGTATGATTTTTTTAACTACCGGTAAATGAAAACTTACATTCAGCAAGGACATTAAATCAAAAGCGACAGTAAAGACTTTTACGTTGTTACAAATACAATTCTAGTTCATGCTGTTCTTTTAAACTTTCAAAGAATCTTGAAAAAAATGTATTACAGTTTCCACAAAAATATTAAGCAGCACAAATGACATTGATAATAATAATAATAAAAAAAGGTTTCTTGAGCAGCAAATCAGCATATTAGAAAGATATCTGAAGGATCACGTGACACAGAAGACTGGAGTAATGATGTTGATTTAAAAAAAATTTACATTTATTTTAAATCGTTATAATATTTTATAATGTTACTGTATTTACTGTTATAACATCTGAAATTTGCACACCAAAAGTGTCAATTAGTGACAGAACTAACTAACATAAGTCTAATTTCTGGTGCAGAAGTCACAGAGAGCACACAGCCACAATCACCTTGTTTTATTATCCTGTTTATTTTCCTCTCATCCCCAGAAATGGAGTGGAGACAGCTCACTTTTACTGTTCCAGGAATGCATTTACAGGCTTGTCTCTCGAGCTTCAATAACACCATGAATGAGGCCCGTCCTCTCATCTGACCGTAAGAGTGGCAAAATGATTGAGCCCTGCTCTGAACACTAACCTCCAGCGCTCAGCTAAGCTAGCCTCTGGGAAGCCGTATAAACTCAGCACAAGTGTAAATGTCGGGATCCACATAGGCTGGGATCGTGTTTTAGAGGCTCAATGGGTCTGCATGGATGGTTTCAACAGGTTCTCTCCTTCACCAATAGAAGTCAACTCTGTAGGGATGTGCCACATCGACACTCTCTCAAAATACACACAATTTCTGATGTCCGAAGGCCTGTCAATTCACTTAAAACTATTTTTGTATGCAATTCTGAATCAATCATAGACAAAATATGACTATTTCTATGACTAAGTCAACATCAGGGCTCTATTAATTATTGAGAATAAAACATATTTAAAGCATGTATTAAACGAAAACAAAAACAATTTCACACATAGTAGTAGTAGTCCCTGTTATCTGTCCTTTGTTTTCTAATTCTATTTCTTTAATCTCAATTTTTTAAAGGGCTCATATCATGAAGGATCAAATTTTGCCTTTTGATAAAACAATGCATTTGACTTTCAAGATTTAACATTAATGCTTTACTACCAACATATACATGTCCACGCCACTCTTGCATGATCAGAAACCCAAGGTGAGCCTATTAAGAAGGAAGTAGGATATATTGTATTATCCCTAAATAGCAGAAGCAACATAATAACCATGTTTACCAGTCAGAGGCCATGTTCACACAGCAGCAGTGTACAGTTGTCAGTCCTGTATTTGAGTCCTTAATACGGTTATGTTCTCACACACAGTCACGTTATTTATGGGAGTGACAACTGCATTCTTTAAACAAACTCACACCGATACATTTTCAGAATTAACCGCACCCTCAGAAAACCTGGACAACTAGTTGTCTGTCACGTCACACAGTGCGAGAGAGCCTCTCTGGAAGAGACAGAGAACACAAAATCTCCAAGAAAGAATGGAGATAGTGAGCTGCCAACACAGGCAAACATTTTAAGCCATCACAGGTCCAACATTTGGTTGTGCTATGTAGTTTTAGCTGTTTAGAGTATCGCATCTTTAGCTTAGCAACATGCCAATGTCAAATGCTATTGAAATCAATTGAGGATGGATGCAATAAGTTGACGTCTATGTACAGTGTTCCAAATCACTTATGAGGTTCATTTAGGCTGCTGTTTAGACAGCAAAGCAGAGCCAACATGAGAATGTATTTGATTTAGAAAGAGAAAGGAAAGGCCCTGAATAAAGAAGATGAAGAGAAAGAATAGCAGTGAAGATGAGAGATGGGAACATAAAAGAAATTATTCTTCCTCTGACACAAGAGACAAGTGGATAAATGACGCCCTAAAGCTTCATTTGTCTTGTTTTTTCCATGTGCGGACAGTGAACCGTTCGCTATTCTTTCACTCCCACCCTCAGACTGGACTTTGACTGTGTCAGCTGAACCTTGGTGGCTGGCCAGCACAAAGGGAGTGCTGCTAAACACACACCCTGACAAACATCTAGTCTGTGACACCCTATACAAAAGCTGGGTGGGAGGACAGAGGACAGGGCTTGAGAACAAGGCCGACGGCCAGTAAAAAAAAAGAGCTTCAGCTCAGCTGATGGAACATTTACTTGCCCAGTTTGGCCAGTTATCAGTATGCAGAAGACTTGCTCTTAAAGTCAGCTAGAAGACACACGATGGGATTCTTTTGTAAAACTACTTAACACAAAATTCACGAAGTGTGACACTGTAAAAACAGCGAGAAAAGGTGCAACGGCTAAAGATGTCACCCTGACTCAACACAATGTCCAGCATAGATCAACTGTTAAGACAGCACAGAATTGGTTATTTAACTAAAAATAATTGTATAAAATTCGTTATTTGCTGAAAATGTGTCTCAGAGAAATCTTAACAATAAAAAAAATAACTAAACTCCACTAAGAAATAATCATATACTGTATATAATAAATTATATGTATAATATTATTTGAGTATTATACCATTTCTTGCAGGAAAGTGGAGTTTAGTTACCATTTAATTTATTATTGTTATTATTATTAATTTAATAATAAAAATAAATAAATTACACACTCAACCTGTCTACACTCCAGTTTCCAGTAAAAATAAATTTTAAATGAAATAAATAAAACTAGTACACACACACACACACACACAGACATATAATATAGTATATACATACACACTTTTATATTATATAAACATACTTTTATGTTAGATGCGATTAATAACATTTAAAGGTGCTATATGTATTTTTTAGCAGCCTCTATCGGCGATGTTTCAGATTGCAACCAATTTTTACAAGAGCGAGGACTCATGGTACACGGCCACACTGAGACTTTCAACACACCGGAGAAAGCATCACACAACATGCTGGAAACTCATGTAAACTCCCACTGCAACGTTACAATAATAGGCTACTTTTATCAGCTTGACGTTGAACTAATGCTCCATGCTCGTACCATGATAACGTTACATTGACTGCATTTAGCCGGCATGTGGTGTTAGCATAAGGCATTACACTAACTATTCGTGTCTTTCACAATCAGGCAGCAATGCCAACATAGGTGAATGTATAATATGATAACGAAAACGGTTAGTGACTAGACTGAACAATTTCAGTGTAACAGTAAGATCGTAGGAAGTAACATTACTGTACTGAACGTGTCTGGAAATGTGTATTATAAACAGTATGATAGTAGTGGGATGAGTGACGTTAGACCGTAGATCTAGTACATAAAATAAAAGTTACATCCTAAAGCACCTACTTTTTGATTTTGTAGTTTACCTGGCTATTTCATTACAGTATACCATTATTTATTTCAGCATATCTGAAAACTTAATAGCGGAGGTCTCTCCATAATTCAAACGCTCTGCCGATGTTGATCCGTGTTTTTGTCCTAAGTCGATCCGACTCACGTTTGGCCTGACGAGCTTCAGCAGATACATTTTTGTTTTGTTTTTTATATTTATGTGGAGTTTGTGTTGGAGTGTGTGTTGTGCTGGAGGCAGGTCGTTTTTTGGTGTTATCAGACTCCATGCCGTTCGCTGCAGTGCAGTCGCATAGACTGTATATAAAAAGGAGAGAGGCTCGGGAGCGCGCATGCACGTCACATCCGATGGATTTCGCAGAAAATCCGACCCGGAGACTTCACATAGAAATAGGAATACTGGCCTTTAGAGGTAATAGCAAAACCCGACAAGTGGATCATTGTAATGTGTGATTACAACCCCTTCACACACAGGCAATAAAAAAAGGATTCATTTTAGAAGAAAAGTTCCATATAGCACCTTTGATTAATTTGACACGCATATATATATTTTAATTTTTTTTACAGGAAACTGGAGTGTAGATATGTTGAGTTTGTAATGTCCGTTGCATCAAATGGCATCATTGATAACATCATTTGTTTAAATAATGTGGTGAGCGAGGTGGAACTGACTGTTTGTCCAATTAATGAAAGAGTTGAAACTGTTTGAAACTAGGACAGCCATTATTTTCCCAGTTCTGTTCAGTGTCATTAGTACTGCAGAAATAACTTCACCTTTAAAACTATACATTCTTCTCTCAAGACAAGTACAATCTGAAAAGCTGGCTCAGCTGGATATAAAATCCATATTATTGAACATTGGAGGATGTTGTCATTCTGTAAAACCCCTTCATGTTTTCCTCCATTCATAAAGCCCCGTCCATCCCTGAGTCACCCTCCCCGTCTGATCTCCAGTCAGCTCTTACCTCGATTCCAAGTAAAGCAGAAACACATGCTTCGGAGGCATCGCAAATGGCGGTGAGGTCGTGACCCCCCTCCAGCGCGAGCACCAGCCGGCCGCCGGCCAGTCCCATCAGCTGCTTGGTCAGGTAGCCAAAACCTGCCAAAGGGGGAGACAGGATATACAAGAGGGGGTTATAGAAACCGGTGGCTGGCCTTTGATCAAAGGAATCAGAGATGAAGAAAAAAAAATGAAGAGGGGAAAAAAAAGACAGTATTACATCACATTCTCTCCGTTAAAAAGACGGCACTCTGGATTTACTGGGACTAAACATATAATATGAGGCAGGTTTAATTTTAATAAATGTGGCTTAGTTTTTTTGGCTCCAGCCATCTTTTGATCTTTGTTTGAATATATGTATCCGACTATACCTCCCTTTCCCAAAGAATCACATTCAAGGCCATCCTAGATGAATTTATTTAGTTTTAATTCTTTACTGGCATGACAGGGTCCAATGGGATGTTCTTCAACACGTCCATAAGAGAAGGAACCGTCCAGTACAGCTCAACCACTGAGAACCTGATACAAACTTTATGCAGCATATCAAAGTGCACCAGAACCGCAGCTACTCTGAATAATTATGCGCATACTGTGCTTGTGCACATCATTCTTAAAGGAATGGTACTCCCAACACAAAAAAAGATGTTATTATGACGTTCCAAAGTTTTATACAGTTATTTTGTATGGGAAGACAAAAGAAGACATTTGGAGAATGTTTACGCTGCTCTTTACCGTACAACGACAATTCATCGTGACCACTACCACCTCGTGAAAGAAGTCTGTACAAAGTCACCTGAAGTTTTTCAATAGCTTTGTAAGATGTAATTCACTGAAAAACCTAATTCTTCTCCAAATCAGTTATGACATTCAATAACTAATGGCGTTTGCTGTCAATGTTGAAAAAAACCTGTATAATTTGAACCTCAAATTTGTGAGTTCTGGTAGAGAGGAATATTATCAGTCATCCTTCTGTCGTTCCAAACGCATTATTTTTGAATTTGGAGAATATTTATGAAGCTCTTGTCCACATAATGAAAGTTCATGGTGACTAAGTCCACTCCATAAACCATCATAAAAGTAGACGGTACGACACGTGCACTATATATTTCAAGTCTCCTGAAGTCATATGATAGCTTTGTGTGGGGAAACGAAACTATTTATGACTCCATTTAATGAAAAAAGTCCTTGTTCACCATGTTCAGTTGTGACAAACAAAAACCAATGGTGTTTGCTGTCAATGATGCCAAACTTGGTGAAACTAGTCAAACTTGAATTTCATCATATTCACCATATTTGAATTTGAGACTTTTATGAGTTCTTGTAGGGAGGAAGATAAGATGCGTTTCATTCAGACTTGACATGTGGCGTACAAATAACGTGGCCTTGTTTTTTCGTCCTTTTTGAACAAGACAAAAACCACGTACGAATTTTGAAACGACAATAGGGTGAGAGCATAACGTCAGAAATAATTATTGGGTGACTTATTCCTTTAAGCTGAGCAGAAAAATGAAAAACAAACGCCGGCACGGATCGAATCATTCTTAGATCAGCAGATGGAATGAATCTGATTTAAAGTTCACTTTTAGATGCAAGAATGGTGCAAATTCAGACCGGACAACCTGTCTTTCTTTAGACTCTGGGCAAATGTTTTAAGCGAACAGTGTTTCTACTTTGCGTTTCCAGCACTGACATATGGACAGCTTTCACCAGGAGATGTAATCTACAAGAGCTGGCCTTATGATCCCGCTAACAGGATAAAAGCAGCTTTTTGGACCCCAATAACAAGTGCTGTATAATCATTAAATGTTTGATTTAGAAACAAGCCTGGAATGCCATCTTGATATTATGCACACATGGGGGGAAAAAATAAAGGAAAAACATCAGGGATCTGAAAGTATGAGACCGGATGACTGGTACAATCCCTCCCTTCAGGGATTAGACTTTGCACACAAGAGTGTGGTCTCTTGTTTTTGTGGTATTAGCACATGATAAATTTGCCTGAAATGAAAGCTTTTAGACATGAGAAATGAGCGAGAGAGAGAGAGAGGAGTGGGACAAAGGCTGACTTCCACGTCAATGACTCATCTTTTTGCTCTGAACCGCTTCATTCCACGAGAATGTTCCTAAGTACAGGGATACGCAGAGCACTTACATTTGGCCGTGAGTTTGTACCCTCCCAGAGGAGGCTGGTGGCCCTCCACAGCGTCGAAGCCTGAAGAAACCAGCACCACGTCCGGAGCGAACTCATTCGCGATAGGCATCACCACCGTCCTTAAAAAAAAAAAAAAAAAAAAAACAAGACCACATGAGTTCGAATAGTTCAGCCAAAAACGAACGTCAGCATTTATTCACCGTCATTTTTCCCAAAATATTTTTTTAACTATGGGCACTTTTTTCCTTCTGGACATAGAAAATAATACCAATGTCCATTAGTGGATACATGAATCACATGTAAACTTTTTAGTTGAAAAAAATAAATACAAATATAAATACCACCACAGTGCCATTTCCACCCTCTCACATGTTATGTATTGTTTTTAATAGCATTCTGTGATGGAATTGGTGGTGGAAATGACATTTTAACAAAATCCTTTGTCTTGCTAAGACTAATTAGCATTTATCATTTTATGTCTTCTATATACAGACAATTAAATAATATTTTCACTGTTCTTGCAAAATGTGCCAAAATTCCAGCTAGGCTGGAAATTATGCAAAATCGTCTGTTCAGAAGTGATATCTACCCTGCTTAAAACTTTATTAGGGGAAACATTGTTCAGTGTGGCACTGCAAAACGTGCCAATAAATATTCATTGTTTTTTGACATTCAGTCTTTGTTTAGATTACAATAGTTTTAAATGTACAAAACATATTTTTATGATGGATTTTCATGTTTTAAGACTGGAAGTCTGTGTTCGGGACAAGGGTAATACAATAAAGTCTATAAATAAAAGGCATCGGAAAAGTAGAAACAATAAATTATGAGTACATGGTATAACGTTTCCAAGTTTTTAATGTGACTGAAAAAATGAAAAAAGTGAATCCCTGGAACATAAAAGTCGAAGAAACACCCTTGTTGCAAAATGTTAAAGCCGCTTTCCCCCCCATACAATAAAAGTGACCAAGACATTAAGCAAAATTATCAGTGTCTTAATTTTCAGTTAAAGCTATTGAAAAACAATGTAGTCATATGGACTACTTTAGGATGCTTTTATGATGTTTTTTTGGAGCCTTGCAGGTCCTGGTTGACATATACTCGAACAGCATGAACATTTTGCAAATCGTTTTTTTTTGTGTGTGTTTTAAAGCAGGAATAAAATAATATAGGTTTGGATTTGACGTAAATGATGACCATTTGTTTGTGAACAACTCCTTTAAACATTCATGGCAAACAACCCAAAGAGAATGAAGCAGTGCTATTTTATGATAAATATAGTCCAAACTCCCCCAAAACACCAGTTGCCATCATGGGAGACATTTAAATTCAAAGAAACAAGACTAGATTCAGTATGATTCATGGGACGAATGGGGTTTTAACGGCTCATTCTGTGGTAAAGTCGCGATTTCTAAACCGAGACTGCCTGTTGCAAAGACAGCCGTCGGACTCAGCAGAGGTTGTGAGACAACATGACTGGGGTGTGTGCATGGCGTGAAAACAATCCCAGCCGTTCTGTCAGTAAGGCACATAACACACACATCCATGCATACACACACGCACGCACCCTCCTATTGCGTTTGTCTTGGCAATGCCGATCGGACTGTAAGGGTCATCAAAGCTCTCGTCGGATGAAGACGACACGCAAATTGATTAGGCGGAGGATATTCTGACTTTGAGTTGATGACTGCGGCCAGGCCCTGCATTCCTTCTGGGCTCACAGCTGTGAGGCTATATTAAGACGACAGATTTCTCTTTCTGAACTGCAGCTGGAGAAATGGGATATATAACTGGGCTTGGTGGGGCGGGAGGCTTGGCGCTCTGTGCTCAAGTGTAGGTGTAGTTGACGTTACAGACTTGATTTGTGTAAGGCTTCATTTCTGTGGCTGTTAATAAAGATTTGATGCAGTAGTAGAGGTTTATGGTGTGAGGGAGAGTGGGGTAAGATGTGTCATCTGCCTGATTTAACAGTCTGTGTCATGTGACCATATACTGTATTTAGAAAGCTTAAAAGATGCACATGAGAAAAGTGATTATGCTAAAAGCCGTTTTGCATGTCAAAGTAAATTTATATTTTTATTTAATTTATTCTATATATTTAATTTATATAAATTATATTATATAATAATTGTGAAATTTATATAGATTTACACTACCGTTCAAAAGTTTGGGGTCGGTACGATTTTAAATACTTTTAAAAGAATTCTCTTCTGCTAACCATGGCTGCGCTTATTTGATTAAAAATACAACAAAAATCAGTTATAGTATTAAATATTATTCCAGTGTAAATCAGCTGTTTTCTGTGTGAATATATAGTAAAGTGTAATTTATTCCTGTGATCAAAGCTGAATTTTCAGCATCACCAGTGTCAGTGTCTTCAGTGTCAAATGATCCTTCACAAATCAGTATAATATGAGGATTTGATGCTCAAGAAACATTTATTATTATTATCAATGTTGAAACAGTTGTTGGTCTGTCAGTTGTACAGTTTTTTTTTTTTTGGATTCTTTGATGAATAGGAAGTTCAAAAGACTTTTGTAACATTATAAATGTCTTTACTGTCACTTTCGATCAAATTAATTATTCCTTGATAAATAAAAGTATTGATTTCTTTCCTCCAAAAAATAAAAATAAAATTCTCACTGACCCCAAACTTTTGAACGGAAGTGTATATATATTATATATATATATATATATATATATAAACACACAACTTAAGCATACAGCATATACACACATTTATTATATAAACACAAACTTTATGTTAGATGCAAATAATTGATTTCAGAGCACTAAAATATATAAATATAATGATATATTTATATATCATTTATATATCATTATACACACACACATTATGTAAAAACAAACTTATGTTAGATCAATCAATTTGACAGCACTAATATTAACATAAACTAGAAAAAAATACTAATGCACAGTCCCATCAAACGTCCCATTAATATGCTGAACACTATTCAAGATCTTTTTTATAATACAGCCCGGAAAGAATTTAATATTAAGACTATTTGATCGCATTGGAATAATGTTCAGCTTTTTGAATACTAACCTTATTTGTAATTTCCAGTACTTTATTGTTGATTTCCTGCACTATTAGTTGATTAAACCCCTGGCACAACTTACCCCAAAGTAATTTACAACACAGATGCCTTTTTGGGAAAACGTTTCATTCATTAATTCAGTGGTAATCTTAAGCAATGCATATATTATGTTTTATAATATAATTTATATAATATATAATTTGTTTGTATTATTTTTAATTTTTGTTGTATTATATAAAATGTTAGTTGTTCAAATATTCCTCAATAATTCAACATATCCCTTCACATGACACAGCTTACCTCTAACATGGGTTACTCAAAATTCCTTAGAAAAATAAAAATCAGTTATTAGACATGGCGATGACTCATGTATGCTCCTAGCAGGGAGGTTTCTTTCACACGCAGCTATTCTGCATTGCATTAACTGTAGTGCCCAGTTGCACAATATTCTTCGTCTCTGGTTGAACTTCACTGGCCTCTGGAATATGGCACTTGTCCTCTTGCCGAAGGTGGGCAAAAGGCCCAACTCCTAAGATGGCCAAAGTCCACAGCTGTGCCTCATATTTTCCATCTTAAAGTACCTAACCTCACCTCAATTACACCCTGTGCCCCACACCGAGCCCAGCTGACTGCACTGCCCGACTTACTGGAGGTCTAAAGGCTTCAGAAAGGATGACAGAAGGCTTTGAGAGTCCAACAGGGTTTGCGTCACAGAAAAGCGGCTGAAATGTCATCACACGGCTGCAACGGGAACGCAGTGTTTTCAGTGTTGTCTGGGAAAGCGCAGTGGTGTCTGTGTGGTCAGCTGGTAAGTGAAAACAAGCTTGCTTGATACTATTTAGAGAGTCAACAGTGACTCGTGTTGGTGCATGCTGAGATCCTTAAAACAGTGGTTGAAAATAAAAACTTGCAAGATCAAAAAAAAGAAAGAAAAGAAAAGATGTGTGGAGGTTAGGCATGCACCGATATTAAAATTCTGGCTGACATAACAGGCCAAAAAGAATCATTTTCATTCCATGTTTTGGCGGAACTGTCAAAATTAAATGAATTATTAAAATGATTAAATATGAAAGAAACCCAGAACATTAAAATCAATCATTTTAAATGCTACAAGTGAATTTAGGCATCTTAGCATTAAAATGAACTGGATGGAAAATGGATATTCATTTTGCAATTTGCTAAAGATTACATTTAACAGACTTATTAAATTATTTCCCTAAAAAAAAAAGAAGCAAAAATATTGATATATACTGTCAATGTTAAAATTCTATACTATTTTGTCTAAATAAACAAAAACAACCCAACCCCCCCAAATTAAAACAAAACATTAAAATCTAAAATCAATCATTTTAAACGTTAGAAGTGAATTTAGGCATCACACCATTATAATGCATAAGATGCAATATGGATATTCATTTAACAATTTGCTAAAGATTACATTTAAAAGTGTTTATATAACTTTTAAATAACTAAAGATGAACTTTAAGTGTGTTAACTGGGCAAATTGAATCACAATTTAAAAAAGGGAAATGAGCAAATATTAAATATTGTTGAATATAGATAAAAAAAATAAAAAAAAACACACACACACACAGACAGACACACAAAACCCCCACTAAACTCTCATATTAGCCTATAACTGATATGGTACCAATATATTGTGCATACGTAAAAAAATATATAAATAAATTCACATCACCCACCGCTGCTGCAAAATGCAAAAGGAGGCATTTTAATGAATTTGCACCGTTTTCCTGGTATAAATTGCAAAATCAGCTAAAATTGGACTGTTTACCGACAATGACACAATTTAAAATGAGGATAAAAGGACTATTTGAGTACTAGATGCACATGTGCTGTTACTGAGAGCGGCTGGTGATTATGTTGAGAGTATGTTAAATTGCCAAAATGTACTTTTTTTTCTTGTTTGTTTTGTTTTTGTTAATGTTTGTATATGTACTTTTTAATATGGAACTATTATTCTGCTGTCTTGGCCAGTACTCCCTTGAAAAAGAGATTCTGAATCTCAATGGGATTATTTCCTGGTAAAATAAAGGTAA